CCTCATATAACCTTGTGTTTAAGATGCATAATAATTGGTTAGCCAAGACAAAGTTAATCAACCTAGGAGACATTATCTAATACATTATTGTAGATAGACCCTTTAAGCTCTTTCACCAAGTATCATGATCTCAGAAGTCTCAAACAGAAATGGAAGTTGATACCGAAAATGTTCTAGTAAAAACAACAAATCCCACTACCAACTAACTCTAATGATAATTGACAAGAATCACAACCTTGAAGCACAAATTCAGTAAAATCAATTACATGGAAACAAATGGGGGTATGCACAAACCAATCCAGACCTAAATTGGTCCGGGTTTAGACCGATTTTAGCAAATCGTATCACACAAGCCATAATCTTTGCTTAACATGGTTCACCATTCTATACTTAAACCAAGTATATCATAAAACAAATCACAAACAAATAAATATTAAACCCTTTGTTTTACAGTTAAACCCTATGAAATTATATAAAAGGCAAGTGCTTTGAAGAACAAGAAAAGCTACCTGCTTCAGAAACGCTAGCCGAAAGCAATTTAGAAGGATCCTCGCCATCATCAAGCGCTAATACTGAGAAAGCATTTGCGACAAGGTCCATTTTTTAATGCTTTTTCAAGTGAACTGTTCTTCAATTACAAGAATTAAGTTAGGTTTACAATCAGATATTGCATGAAACTATAGACCAACAAATTAATTGCATAAGACTTATGAGTAATAATTTTACTATTTTATACACAACTATAGTATTTATAATTGTATAAAATTGTGGGGAAAAAAAGGGGTGTGGAATTGTAAGAAACTAAATAAGTGAGAAATTGTTGGAAATGGAGAAGTGGGTTCACCTGCTACTATTTCCTCCGCAAAGAGCGAGTAATGCCGGAGGTTGTCGATAGAGTGGTGGTTCCGGCGGAAAAGGATCGCCGGTGGTGGTGGTGTTGGTGGTGGTGGACAGGTGGTGGTTTGAAAGAAGAATTGGTACTCTACTACTCTTGTTAAGCGCACTTTTCTTTTTAGTATGTCCTTCAAAAAAAATCTTTTTTCTCACTCTATATATATATATATATATATATATATATATATATATATATATATATATATATATATATATATATATATTTTTGGGTGAAGAAGAGGGGCAAGCCAAAATAAATGAGTTAATTACACTTGCAACAGTTTTGGTTTGCGTGATTAAGGACTAAGGAGAACACTAAGGGTATGTTCTTTTCAGCTTAATTGCATTTTATTTTAGTTTCAATCAATTTAGTTCAGTTCTTAATTTCCTTCTCTCATAAACAGTTCAGTTCAGCTCAGTTCAGTAAGTCAGAACATGCCCTAACTATTTCACCTACAGCTCTACTTTACTCTGATGTGCCCTGCCCACAAGCTCAAAAGAACAAGGCCTAAAACTATTTTCACTTACCGCTTATGCAGTGTATTATCTTATCTTTTTTTTAGGGAATAGTTCGTTGGTATTCTTATCTTATTGTATTTGAACTTAATTGATGTTAATTATTTTTATTTTTTCGAACAAAATAAATTCATTAATAAAAAGGCATATACATTCAAGAAATTAAAATCAACAAATACATAAAAATATAATCAAATAAAGGCTGAGACAATCTAACGATTTGTTGTAGCGTAAGGATGAATAATTCACTTGAACTTATTTGAGAATTCAACAATCGTTGCAATCCCGAACAATTTTTACCAACAAACTGGAGAAAAAGATGATTACTTTATTGATAAGCCTTAACACCCATATAAACCCTAACGAAAAACAAACAGCTAAAAACTAAAAAAAACTAACGACTCCACCATACACTTCGTCGTAGAGAGACGGTTAGACGGGCGAACATCTACACTACGGCCCTATTCTTTTGAGCTTTTGGGCATAATAGAGCAAAGGGTAGCAGAGCATAGCATATTTCAGCACAGCAAAGTAGAGCAAAGCGGGCATTCCAACATTGCAGAGCAGGGCAGGGCAGAGCTTCCAACACTATAGAGCAGAGCACAGCAGAGCTTCCAAGTTCCAACATTGCAAAGCAGAGTAGGCAAGGCAAAGCAGAGCAAAATCAGCTCAAAAGAACATGGCCTAAATTGCAAAGATATATAAAAACTAGAGAAAAGGTCAAAAATACTCTAATTTCTGAACAAATTAGACTAAATCCAATCTAAATGACCAAAAAATTATAAAATCCAAGAAGAGAGGAAAGAAGAGGGGTTGGTCCAACAGTTAACATCAATGGAAATTAGTTATATGAAAGACTTCAAATATACACATCAATTGAACTAGAACAAAAGATGAGTACTTTAACGTTCAAATATTGGGATAAACTACTCGGGAGCTAATCGAGTAGACACCTATAATACTTGGGAACTTTTATTTTTAATTTTTTTGATTTGATTTAATCTGGACTTACTTATATGGTTTGATCGATTGGATTCGAACTTATCAATATCTATTTGATCTAAAATAAGGTGAACAAACACATGGGGGTTATCTTTCGACCTTTCCTCTCTCCATGTCCAAAAGGCTATGCCCACTATTCTAATCAGTATTAATTTATGAGAGTTTTTTATGGACATATTTACCGAGTGATTTTCATAAAAATTGTTAAAAAGAAACTAAAATTCCATGATTTTGCTACATTTTATCAAAATTTCCTACATACCGTCCACCTCACCTAAATATACATCCTACTACTAAACAATATTAGTTTTTTTTAACTAAACAGTACGAAATCGCTATTTAAGGGCTTTTTTCATCATTTTTTGCTTTTATTTTCTAATTTTTTTTAAAACAAAAAACCAAAACAACAAGAAAAAGGTGTTTCCATTTATCTATTGTCAATTTTCAAAATTATCATGATTTAAATAAGTTTGACCAACTTTTGATTCATTATATGACTATATTATATGGTTTTACAAAACAAAAACCAAAAAATAGTAAACCAAAGCAATACCAAACGGACCCTAAAATCCTAAATTAGCATATTTCCATCTATTGTATGCCCACTAAATACAGACAATCTTCTCTTCCTCCCAAAAAAAAAATGATTAGACAATCACCGCTAATATTAAAAAGAAAAAGGCTAACTTGCACCATTAGACATTACTACGTTAGGACTTGGGACTTTAGGAGTACATTACTATTGCCTTGGACGCTCGCCCACAAGATCTTATATAAAACAAAATTTGGGAATTAAATAAATTCTATTCATATTAAATTAAATACTCCCTTTAAAAAAAATGTTTTTCCTATTTTCTTTTTTGTTCTCAATGCAATATTATACTTCAAGTTGCATTACATATCATATGTGTCCAAGGATAGAAAGACCCTGGGAATTAACACCACAAAAACCATCAAACCTCAAAGGGGCTAACTTTCTTACAGCAGTATCTACATCAACTAACGATTCCATAATAAACATAATATTTATAAAGAGGGAGCGGACAAGAGACACCAAATTAGCGGAGGTTTGGTTGTGTTTTGGTTTTCTCCGCTTAGGGTAGTTCCTCTTTTAGTCTCTTCTAATTTAATTTTGTGTGAAATATGTACTCCAACTACTAATGAAATAAAGCATATCATGTTTGTGTACGGATCACCTCATCCTTCGGGACGAGCTGTTGTTTGGGAGGAGATTTCTCAAATTTTGCAAATTTATACAGATATTCTACTTATTGGTGATTTTAATCAAGTAGAATATTTTTCGGATAAGGTAGGGGGTTCTGCACACATAGATGGGTTAAATGCTTTTCAGGAATGGAAAATAGAAAATAATCTTTTGGATGTTCCCTTTTTCGGTCCTTCCTATACTTGGACTAATGGTTGTTCTTCTGAAGATGCAACGTTCGAGCGCTTGGATAAAGCCTATGCTTCACAAAAATGGATGATTGATCATCCGAACGCCTTTTTGCTCCACCAATCCATACTTTTCTCAGATCGTGCGGTCATTGTTTATCATGAGAATTCCCCTCCTGTTTCTAAACGTCCATACCGCATAGATAATTGGTGTTTACAGTCGAAGGATGTTTTTAGAATTATTGATGTTATCTGGGCTATGATGCTTCCAGGTTCTCCGATGTTTGTTGTCTCGAGGAAATTAGAGCAAGTACGTTCGAAATTACTTTCGTGGTGTGTTAATAATAAAAAATCATGGGGTATCAATTGGAAAGAACTTCATGCTTCTCTAGATCCTTTGGCACAAAATTTGGATTCAAGTCTTCATCGTCATCTCTTCATCTCTACCCGCGAGGAAAAAATTGCTCAGTCCTATACCACTTACCTATATTGGAAACAAAGGGCGAAGGTCAAATGGGATAAGTTTGGTGAATCTCATTCTCACTTACTTTTTTCTTATGCTCAGGCTCGGAAAAGAAAAAAATTTGGTTCATGGTCTTAAGGATTCAAATGGGTTTTGGGTTCATGATCAACAGGGTATTAGTATTATGATTCAAAATTATTATTCTCAGTTGTTCTGTTCCCCTCAGCAACAAGTTTTTCCTTCGGATTTTGATTGGAACGATTTAAACTTACCACAAATTTCAGATATGGAGTGTTTTAATCTTTTGCAGCCTGTTTCTGCAGAAGAAATTAAAGCTGCTATGTTTCAGATTGATGAGTCGAAGACTCCGGGTCCAGATGGCTTTTCTTCTGCTTTCTTTCGTTCGCATTGGTCTACTGTGGGTCAATCGGTTATAGATGCAGTGCAATATTTTTTCTATCATGTCCATATGCTTAGAGAATGGAATAGGACCTTCATCACTCTTATTCCTAAGGTGGATCATCCGGAGTTCGTCTCTCAATTTCGTCCAATTGGTCTTTGCAATGTTCTATATAAATGTATAGCAAAGTGTATTTCGGTTCAGCTACGGAATATTCTCCCTCAATTAGTCTCAGACTTTCAAAATGCCTTTGTTCCAGGTCTGCTCATGTCTGATAATTGTCTTGTTGCGCATGAAATTCTCTCCTATATGGATAGGTTGTGAGGTCGTACTATGGGAGCGGCGTTGAAAGTAGATATGAATAAAGCCTATGATAGGATCAGTTGGGATTTTCTGTGGCAAGTTCTCAAGGCCTTTGGTTTTCCCCCGAGTTGGATTCACATAATTCAGCAGTGCGTTTCTACAGTTTCTTATCAGGTTTTGGTTAATGGTAATCCCACGAAAGTTTTTCGTCCGATTAGGGGTTTGCGGCAGGGTGATCCTTTATCTTCATATTTATTTGTTCTGTGTATGGAGGTGTTTTCAGCTATGATTCGTAAAGCAGAATCCGATCGTCTGTTTCGGGGTATTAAGGTTTGCAGGCGTTCTCCTTCGGTCTCGCATTTGTTTTTTGCGGATGATGCCCTTATCTTTTTCCAGCCTTCCCCTGTTACCTGTTTAGAGGTTAATAAAGTGCTTCACAATTTTTGTGATATTTCTGGACAGATGATCAATCTTCAAAATTCCTTCATTCGTTTTAGTTCTAATGTTCCGGATGATTATCGGGATTACTTAGCTGCTTCTATGCATGTGCGGGTGGAATCTTCTATTGGCTCTTATCTGGGTCTTCCGGTTGATATTAGCAGACACAAATGTAAAGCTTTTCAGCCTTTAATAGATAAAGTTGTTAATCGGTTGAGTGGTCTCACTTCCCTTCATCTATCGTCTGCTGCTAAATTGGTCATTATCAATTCTGTGCTTGTGACTTCCTTCAATCATATTTTGTCTGTGTTTAAGATTCCTTCTACAGTTATAGACAAAATCAACAATCTTCTGCTTAGGTTTTGGTGGAAATCTTCTTCCCACTCCAGAGGTATTGTTATGGCTTCCTCTTCTCTCCTTTATAGGCCTAAGGGTCTTGGGGGTCTTGGTCTTCGTCATCTGGGTTTTTTCAACTCTGCGATGTTGGCAAAGCAGGCCTGGGGGGTCATGCATAATCCTCAAATTCTTATTTCTCGTATTTTCCAAGCGCGGTACCCTTCTATCTTGGATCGTCATTCCCATTCTAGTCTCTCTCGCCCTTCTTGGGCGGGTAATAGTTTGATGCATGGGTTCCGCTCTCTTCAGTCTGGCCTTACTTGGAAAATTGGCAATGGTTCCAAGGTTCGAATTTTTTAGGATTCTTGGGTTCCGGATTCTGTAGTGTCCCCTAAGAATTCTCTTGTTGGAACAGTTCACCCGATTCTGGTGTCCTCTCTTATCAATTCAAGCTCTAACACTTGGGATTCTTCTCAGATTCATAGATTGTTTGATTCCTTTACTGCGGCTAAAATTCTGAGTTTGGAGCGACCGGCTCAGTTAATGGATGATTTCGTCTACTGGATATTTACTAGGGATGGGAATTTCTCTACCAAGTCCGCCTATGCTGCTTTTATTCAGGGCTCGTTCCCTGTAACTTCTGATGGGGATTCGATCCCGTCCTCGTGGTGGAAAAAATTCTGGGCCTTTCCCATTTTACCTAAGTGGAAGATGTTTTTTTGGAAGTTGTTACATGGGGTCACTCCTGTGGAAGCCTTATTATGTACCAAAGGTATTCCTGTTGATCCTTTGTGTGCTTTTTGTCATACTTCTCAGGAGACGATTGATCATTTATTTTTACACTGTCCGTTTACTCGTCGCCTTTGGAGTTGTGGTCCTTTGGGTATTCTCCTTCCTCCGGAGGATTTCTCCTCGTTTATCCATTGGTTTTCCACTTGATTACTCACTCTTTGGCTCATGGAGATTGGAGTACTCTGGACTTTATTTTAGCCTTTACCTGGGCTATTTGGTCCTGTAGGAATGGTGTTCGATTTCAGGGATTAGTTCCTAATCCCTTTGTGTATTCAGGATTGCTCATGAGTGGAAGTCTCGAAGTTCTTCGGTTAGAGATTTGGATGTTGGGGTTATTTCTCCTCCTCTTGGGTTTCATCATCGACCACTGTTGGTTATTCTTCGAGGTTCTTTTACCTGTTGTTGATTTACTCTTTGACGGGGCTTGGGAGTCTACGGATTGCAGAGCTGGTATGGGTTGGTGTTTTTATTAGGCAGGATCTCTTCAGTGTCTTGGGGGTGGAGCACAGGCATGTTTTGCTCTTTCGGCCATTCAAGCAGAGTTGTTTGTCTGTCTTCTAGCTTTGAGGATGGCGCAAAATCGTGGTTTTGCTCAACTTCGAATTCATACTGACTGTTTGGGTGTCCTTTTTAGTCTTCGGGATCACTGCTCAAAGGACATCTTTGCTAGTTAGATTTTTCAGCAGATTGAGGGTACCATACCTCTCTTTTCAGCCTGTTCTATTCAGAAGGCTTCCAGGGACTTTATTAGGCCTGCTCATGAGTTAGCTGTTTCAGCTAGGAATCGTCATTCTCTTTTTCTTTCTTTCTAGTTCTTTGTTTGTTTTTGTGTTGATCTTTGTCAAAAAAAAAGAATAGAAAAGACATTAAAGTATAAAAATCTATTTGCATCATTATCTTTCAAATTTTCAAAATGGATAAACAAAAGAAAATGGGGGAGTAATTAAACAAGAACACTTATACATAGTAATAATTAAATATACTCGTAATATATAAGACTATTGGATAGAAAATTTATGTAGGGAGAACCCCTAACTTAGTTTTAAAATTTTTGTTAGAGCCAAGAAAACAACATATGATGTGAGTAATTATTCGGGAAACTCATGAGTTTAACAACTAATGTTGTAATTCTCTGTTATTGAAAGTTCTATTTAGTTATAGTAAACTCTTGTTTCTAAGAAAATCTGAAAATAATGAGCGGGTGTAAGAAAAATAGGGATGAAAATATTGTAGGGTAAGGAGGGTAAGGGATAGAATAGCGAATTAAACTTTTTGAAACGGCCTTACACTAAGACTGAGTTGATCTATCATGAACGATGAGGTAATTGAAATTTTACAACCTAAATGGGTACTTGGTAAACTTCTGGTGCACGGCGATGATAGTGTAACATGTTTAATAAAGCAAATGTTTCTACTATCGTGCAATGCATAAAATTATGTATGTAATTGCGGAGAGCCCAAAAAACGACCATCAAGAAGCTAAGGAACCAGATGATTAGTGCCAGCCATCCTAGAGATTTATCTAGCATATATAAGAGTATGCTATTTGCTAGAGCTCCCAATAGACAAGTAATATGGTTTGATATTGAAAGGTACTTATAGCATCTAGGTTCATGACTAATTAACATTGCTAAAACATAAAAAATCAGAACAATTATGAAAGAGTACACTATTATTGGGTGTTCCTCAAAGATATTGGTGACTTCTCCTTGATATTTCACTTGTAGAAGCATGCCTAGCACTTGTATGAGAAATGCAAATGCTCCTGCAGTCCATGTTAGTCGGGTTGGACAATTGTTTTCCTCACTACAATAACAAAAAGGAATTAAAATAGGCAAGTTAGAGTGGAGTCATAAACACATAATACATTGGATCAAATCTCATGTTTATTGCTATGGTTTTCAGCTTATTCTTTAATAATAAAAAAAAGGGCACATTTTTTGAGATAGTAACTTTAACTAAAATATTTATAGGAAAGGTTAGTTTAAGTTTTTTTTGACGAGTAGTTTAAGTTGTCAAAGTTATAATTACTATGATTTGTGGAGATAATATATTGGGTTTAAGAAAAATGGAGGAAGTATCTGAATTATGAATTCATTATTTGTACATACTTCGTATTTAAGTTTTTTTTTTCTCTTTTTTTTTCTCTGAAACATACGTACTCCGTAGTATTTACTTAAATTTCCTGATGTAAAGTATAAATATTTTTGGAAAATTTTTATTTTTTTTATTTTTCTTTTTGGTGAATTGTATAAAAATTTATTATCTTTGTTAATATTATAATATCACACTAAAGTTACTCATGACATTAATGATGACTTTTTTGTTTTTTTCTATCTTTTATTTATAGTTACTTAGGGCCTGTTCATATTTACTTATTTTCAGTTCAGTTCAGTTCAGTTCAGCTACAATCAGTTCAGTTCAGTTCAGCTCAGCTCCAATCAGTTCAGTTCAGTTCAGTTCAGCTCTTAATTTCCCCCTCTCATAAAATATTCATTTCAGCTTAGTTTAGTTTAGTTCAGTTCAGCTCAGTTCAGTAAATATAAACAGGCCCTTAGTTAGGTATTTTTATCATAAACTTCGTATATAGGAAGACTCTCGTCAAAACCCCTTCTATAGAGAGAAATATTTATGTGACAACACTCTCAATTTTTAAATTTTAATTCTAATGCACTAAATTGTTATTGAGTTGTTCTAAATTAAATTAGATGGTCTAAATTAGTACTCAAATGTTCTAAACCTTAAATTAGTTAAATTTGGTATTGTAAATTTTGAATAACTTGTTCATAAATTTAAACTTATATGTTCTAAATTTTAAAATATGTGTTCTAATAATTTTAGACATATCTTCTAGATTTGAAAGCATATGTTCAAATTTTTACTCATATGTTAAAAAATCTTACTCATATATTCTATATTTTAGATTAGTTCTCATATAAGTAGGAGTTCTCACATATATGGGTCTATTCTCACAGGATCCCACTGCACTAGCACCAGCCCAACCCCTTGGAAATCGTGTAAAAGAAAATAGGACAAACAAAAGAAAAAGATGGAGAACTCCGTATCAATTTTTTATAATTTATATATATTGGTAATTAAAGGTATTACTAGTTACAGCTTTCTTTGGCAGGTGGGTGCTAATTAAGCGAGTCAATCACGAGCTGAGGGATCAAAAACTTTTTATATGTACACAACTCGTGCTCGTTAAAGTTTTGAATCTAGTCAAATAGCTCACGATTTACTCGTTTAAATTTTGGTCCTTCTAAAATTATAGGTCATTATTATTATTTTTTTGTTCACTTTATATAGTTTATTTATTTATTATTAAAGATTTACTCTTTCTTTCGAGCGTAGATTATATGTTAATAAAAATATATTATTAAGTTGCTCACGAGCTTATCGAGTCAAGTTACAGCTTGCTCAAGTCATGCTCGTTAATTTCTCGAGTCAAGTCAAATTCGAGTCGAGCCAACTTGAGAGTCGAGTGTTGAACAAATTTTAACCGAGTCGAGTTCGAGTTGTTCGCAAATTGCTCAACTTGATTACCACTTTTAGACAGTTATTAGATAAGTCAGATACAAGTGTACAACCTATGATACAATCCCGCATTCCCTCATTAGTCCATTACCCCCACACAATTTTCATACCCTCCCTGCCACTACGGCACTACCTAACAAAATTGGAAGTTTAGGAGAGTGCAACTAGGTGCATAGCTGCTATTTATTTAGTATGCATATAGGAGGACTAATTGGAATATTAATTTAATTTTTATGATTTATTATTGCCTAGAGTGGTATTTTTAATGTACTATTATAGTTACCGTGGTATTTTCTATATACTGTTACACTTGTATTTTATATTACTTGACTATAGGTTGTTTTAGTAGTACTATTTATAGCGTTGGACTGTCACAATTCTCCTTTATTTTACCCACACTAATATCTCTATTTTGAGTTTTTGACTAAGGAATATTGTCCTTGTTTCACTCTATTGAGCTGTGAAAAGGAGAGATTTTGCAAAAAAAAAAAAAATACCATGCCCAAACCTGTTAATTCGAGCCAAATTAAGTACGACATATGAAATTTTGAGATGTCTAAAACTCCAAAAAAAAAAAGAAAAAGAAAATTGGGTATGCCCAAAGTTTGGGACTTTGGGCCCTAAACATCACCCAAATCTGATATTTTTTTTGGGCTAAACTTGTTTTCACCAAGTCCAATGTTTTAAAACTACAACAATTTAACAAAATCAAATGAATATATTATTTTATTATATTTATTAAATATTTTTCATTTCTATAGATATTGAAAATTTCATGAGACAAACAAAAAGAAATGAAAAAAGTACTATTTTGTAAAGTACAAATTCTTACAAGTCTTGTACTTAGCAACTAGTGTGCGATTTGAGGTTTGAAAATTGTGGTGCGGATTTTGAAAATGCCAAATCACGCGAGCTCTAAAAAATTTAGACCAACCACACCGCAAATCGCAGTTTGATGTGGTTGCAGTTTGCAGTTTTAATACAATATTTTTATTAAATAAGTATAAAATAATTTTAAAAAATAATTTTAAAAAATAACTAATTAAAAAAATAACTTAAAAAAATATGAGCTAATCGTTTACTATGTTAACTAACTAAAGGTTAAAAAAAAGAGTTTAGTATTTGAATTATAAATTAATAATCTCAAAATAAAATATAGTTTTGTTTTAAATTTGTTTCAAAACATAGATTATTTTGAGATTATAAATTAATAATCTCAAAATATATGAACGGTAACAAGTTTGATGTGGCTTGGTTAGAAGTGCGGTTTGAAAAAATACAAATCGCGCCGCGAACACCCTGTTGGTTACTCGATCATTGTTATAAAATTACTCATTCAGATGTACGAGTAGGGATTACCTTGTTCTTTTTACAAGCGGCCACTTGGTGTGACCAACCGCACACAAAACACACTTTTAGTAAGAATAATTTAAATTATGCAAAGCTAAGGCAAAGAGAATATAGCCTAATTGCCTAAGTGTAGGCAAATAGAATATAGCCTAACTGCCTAGGGCCTGTTTTGATTAACTGAATTGATTGGAACTAAATTGAACTGATTGGAACTGAAGTCAAGTGAATGTTTTATGAGAGAAGGAAATTAGGAACTAAACTGATTGGAGTTAAGCTGAACTGAACTAAACTAAAATGAAAATAAGTTGAAGAGAATAGGCCCCAAGTGTGTGTATTTGTTAATTTCTCTCATAAAAAATTATAGTATTTGCTATTTTTGGTATGAATGGATTATAAGTTGGTAAACCCCAAATTTACCTACAAGGGGTTTTTCTTTTTTATTTTTATTTTTTTTAATCTTACATAAAAAAATAAAATAAAGTTATTAAAAAAGTATAAGTACATGCATAGGTAACTAATCACATTGTTTTTCTATCTCATCAAGTAAGCTTAACCCAAAAAAAGTTAAAAAACTAATGAAACACGGAGGGAGTCCTCCTTACCTAGTTAATTCTAGATGAAGTTAATAAGTACGAGGGAAATTTAGCTAATATCGGAGATTAACATTTCAATTTATCTCCTTTCACAACTTTATACATTGATTTATGTGCCACTCTATTATTTTACTCTTATCATTTAAGAAATAAAAGAAAAATGATTGAGTTGTGATAGGAGACATACGAGTATT